GCGATTGTTTTCTATTCCTTGTCACTTGTTCACACTCTTCTCCTTCGTTCCATTTCACTGCGTACTTTGTGGCACTCACTCACGCACACTGACACACATGATAAACACAGACAAACACACACCCACATACACGTAGATAGTGCCACAGCAGCAGTCAATGTCGTTTCGTTGCAGTACCCTGTAACTAGTGGGTAACCAGGCTGTATTGTCTCCACCTTAGAAATTGAATATATTCCTCTAAAAAAATCTATGATCGGGTATGACTATAGAAATCTGACTCCCACTCGAGAAGACTCTTCAAAGTTAGAGCCACAATTTTCGATGCTGAACTTTTTGCATTTTAACTTTCATGTGCGCTCCCCGCAGTGCATTTGTAATTTTCTTATCTCTTAATCGCCTGCTCCTCTCACGCTTTGCACGCTCCCGCAAGTGGTTCATGCCCTTGCACTCTCTCTCTCCGCATTACAGAAATTCAAGCTTTCGCTCTCTCAGCAAGAACAGTAATTATGCGACCAACTCAGCTGAGTGACAACTCTGTCACTCTCGCTCGCTCACTCTCAGCGAATACGAAGCAAAGGAATAACGGAATACTTTGCTGCGAAGTTGCTGTCTTTTTTATTGCGCTTCTTTCTTAGTTGCAGATATTTACGCTGCATTTTGTACATCTCCAAACTTATATAGATCTCCAAGCAATCGGCATGGGATTACAGGGAATATGTAGTGCAAGTTTCCATGTAGTATTTTTCAATCTCTAGCAGTGTCATCTACTCTATGAGAGCGCTTTCCATGAAATGGGTATCCTATAGCCGTAACATACCCATATACATATATGTATGTAATTCCCATTTGTTTTTGTGTGCATAGCTTTTGTTGATATTCGTGTTATTGTTCGGAATTTGCATACAAAGCGCCTGCAAAGGGGGGAAACATACTAAAAACGTAACTAATTTGTGCCCGAGGAGGATTCTCGAGAGGTCTCAAAATGTATTTGGCGACACTCACACACGCACAAAGCCTGAAGGACTGTGGGGCTGAATGACTGAGAGACTAAAGGACTTGTGGACCTGTAAAGTGGCTTTGACGAGTCGTAACAACATTTTTTTGTGCGAACCATCCGACCTACAGGTCGGAGGAATTTTCACTCGAGAAATGAAATCAAAGCACTTGCCAACAACATTGAGCCGCAGAGAAGAGAGAAAGGCAAAAAAAAAAACCACAAGAACTGAAAGAATGGAAAAACCGCAGCAATTTTCTTGTTCCCATTTGTTGCGTTGCCTTGCCACGAAGGATGCAAAGGAGGATACGACAAGGATACAGCACCGGAAACACAAAAGCCAGTTCAGGAACGAGGAAGCAGCAGCAGCAGCTGGAGCAGAGGGTTTTGCATTTAATCATGTCCTTATAAACAAATACCAATACAGAATCGCCTTTCAGAAGAAAGAGAAGAAGAGTGTGCTTTCCTAATGGTTTATCCTTCGATGAGGGGAGAAGGGAGTGATGGGGAGGGGAGGAGTACCCACCGCCAACTGTGGATCGTTACCTGCCAGGGGTCACAGTGCAAATGTTATAGCCGCTGAGCCGGAAATTGAATTCACATGGCTTTAGCCTGAACCTTAAACACGTGTGCGAAAGACTGAAAAAAACGTTCGAAAGAGTAAAGAAATCTTATAATTCTCATTTAATTAAAAATAAACAAAAAGGCAAAAAAAACCAAAATAGGAAATTATCTCTGTTTATATGATTGGGAGGGGAGTGAGATTTTTATGCGATTTATATGCGAATATTGCCCATCCAATTTCATTTGAAATGTTATTTCAATTTGCAAATTCCATTTAATTTTGCAGTTTTACTCGTATGGCAGCAGCTGCCATATCCTTTGTTAAATCAGCAAATTCATTTGTGTTGTTGCATGCATCACTCCCAAAAGTTTCACTGGGTTTTCACTGGGTGCAAAAGCAACTTGGCATTTAACCTACACAACTTTCCACTTTCGACCACACTTTGCTGGCCACATTTCTACGAGTAACTTCCGTTTTGTCAAATCATATTTTTGGCACGAACTTTAAACAGCCATTTGAAAAATGTTTTCATTTCAGTCATAATCTAAGCTTTAAGACCATTTTGTGGATGGGTTAAACAGGAACCCATAAAAATAGAAACTGTTTCTGCTGGCTGCAAGTAAACAAATATTTTCGGTTATTTGCCCAAATCCAGGGTCCGCACGGCGCCAAGCTCTTTAGCCAATTCGGGGGAAACCTTTTACCATTTCCCACATCCCACAACCATCCTGATGGCATTTCTGGCTCTTCTGCTATTGACTCTATTGGTAAGGGAACATGACACGCTCGTTGACACGGCCATGGCTTATGGCTTAATGAAGCGAGCACATAAATGAATGTCAATATGGGCCAAGAACCAGACAGGGACAGGGATAGGGATAGAGATAGGTCCAGGGGCCAGGGGCCCTTGTCAGGGTCTGGATTGGGATGTCAAAGACAGGAAAGACGAAAAGCTGCCCCTGCTGATGATGATGTCTGTTGTAATAGTTTTGCCGCATCTCTCTCTTCGGGGGTTAATGGCCGGATCGTGTCGATGGCTGCTGGTTGGCCTGGGTGTTGACCAGCCTGCAAATTGATGAGCATTTTTCCAGGCCATCGCTTATTCGATTTTGCGTGTGCGGGCCAGTACGTGTGTTACCGTGTGACCGTGTTGCCCATTCAATAGTTTAGCTAAACAGCTCGAACTTCTCTGCCAAAATCAATTTATGTTAAAAAAAAAAACTCCCCGGATGGATGCGGATGCTCTCACATCCCTGAACCGACGAAAGCCGCTGTAATACATGCATATATCCGTATGTATTATAATCCTTTGCGACAAGAAGTCCTTTCGCTGGCTGGGTTGGGTGCTGATTCAGGGCTTGTTGTCGTATTTGCCAGCGAACAGCAAACAGTAAACAAGCCATAACAAGAAAGGAAAGCTGCAGGTTCGGGCACCCATGCCTTGGATACCCTTGCAAAGCCATCTGGGTAGCTATGGGATATAGAGGGTCCTGTAGTAGGATCTGGAGGGGACTTGTCGTGGTGCGCTCTTAGCTGCAGGAAATCCGAAATTAAAAATTCGAATAACCTTCTGAAAGAGTAGAGCTGCTGACGCTCTCAATTTCCTTCCTTGTTTTGCCACACGACGCATGGGGCATGTAGCATGGGGGGCGTATGAGTAATCATTTTATTACGCGAACCCCGAAAAAGGCATGCCACACATCTGTTGACCTTCTTTAATGTGCGTCTGCCCCCCTACTGTTTTGTTGGTGTGGCAACATACTCGTATGCATGCGGCATGGCTTTTATGGCTCAGCATTCAACCTCTTTATTACGTATACGCAAATTTGTCTGGCCTCAAATTAAAATAAATGCGCTAAGCAAAATGCAAAAGTTGCTGAAATACATTCCCCCCCCCCTATCATCCCGCTTATCCGCAGGGGTATCCATTTATTTAGGGATATTGTGTTTGGAAAATTGAAAAATAATAGAACCACAACTGGCGGGGAGCGGGCGGATAACTTCTAATGCGACAGAGCCATAAGTTAGAGGCAAATTCTGGTCCCTGGGGAATTTAATGCTGATATGTATAAAGCGCCAAGTGTCACAGCCTTACGAGGATATATGCACGATCGCATGGATCATTGAGGGCAGAGCAACGTTCCGCTCATTACGGTTTACTTTATGCCCTCCCCCACGCTTCCCTACTTTGTGTTTGTTATTTATGTCAAGCCATCAACGAATACCACCCCACAACAGTCGCCATTCGCAGCACTTCACTTCCTCCGTCACTCAATTTTTACCCGTAAGCGCGCAACGTTTCCTCTGCCGCTTCCTGTCTGCTGTACGTGTCCTGTAACTGTGTTATTCTACTTCGCCCCCCCGACTCTCTTTTCCGCTCAGCCAACTGATTTCACATAATCGCATTTTCCTCATAAAACGAAAACAGCGCAGGAAAAGTAAGCAATGTAAAACCTTTAAAGCTGCTTTGGGCACGAGATTTAGCACTCGACAATCGACGCCCGGCCAGCCGACGCACAAGCGAAAAGTGCAAAAGAGAATGCCCGAGAATGCAATAACAAAATACACACAGGGATGGCTGCCCAGTCCCTTGGCAGTAGTTTCTCCTGGCATCAGAAAGGAGATTCATCCATCGTTACATCGAGTGGCTTTGATTGTGATTAGAGCAAGTCGTGCAGCGCTTGAGACTAGCCTTTTGTTGGAACTGTACTTGTTTGGTGCCTAATGCTGCAACAACTTGTGGTACTCCCACAGTTTACAAGCAGCCCACAGTCCCCATTGCCCAGTGTACATGCCCCATGCCGCATATTACGAAATTTGTAATTGAGCCAAAGCGTATAAATTACACGGACGCTGACAAACTTTCACCATGTAAATTGCTCAACTGGGGGTCAGCCACCACATAAGGGGGGAGATCGAGCAAGAGAGAGAGAGACAGAGAGAGATCCCCACTCTTTCCCCTTCCCCTACCCAGAAGCAAGGTGAAGCTTTTGCGCAATGCTCGAAATTAAATTCATTTAAAAACTGCCTCCACCCCCCCCAAGCAAATCCGCCGATGCGCTGTTGATGACGTAGGCACACAACAGCAGCCCCTAGAGCCCCAAAAAGCTCCATGAGATGAGCATGTCGTATCTGTATCTGTATCTGAAGCTGTGGCTGTGGCTGTAGTTGTGCATCTGCATCCGAGTGAGAGAGTGAGGGAGAGAGAGAGAGTAGAGCTGTGCACGAGTCTAGGCCACACGTGCGTGAGAATAGGAACGGTCTGGCTGGGTCGCGACGGCTGGGAATCTGATAATCGGTCGGTGCCGAGTGGAACGAGTGACGGGCGAACCTTATCGCCGCACACCTCGTCGCGTCCACTTGACCACGCAGAAGCTGATGTTGTGATGTGCTGTGCTGTGCTGTGATGTGCTGTGATGGTGGCGATGCCATAAATCCCGCCATTCCGATTGCGACTGTGATAAGAGCTCTGCTCTCCGGCGGACTAGAGCAAGCAAAGCACAGCGCTGACTGGCAGTTGCAGCGCGATTGCCGACAAGCGCAGACATGTCCGTTTCCGTTTCGGTGTCCGTGTCCTGGTCGAGGACACTCGTCGCCCTGACCATCGCCTGGCTGAGCATGGTCTGCCTGCTGCCGGTGGAGACCTTCTGCGACACCTCCTACTATGAGAAGTACTACGCGGCGCGTCGCTACGTGCCCCTCAAGCGGAATGCCCCGCTCCTCTTCAACTTCACCCTCACGCTGACCGACTCGGACACCGCCCAACTGGCGGCACACGAGCGTCCCGCCCTCGTCGGCAATCTGGCCGCTCTGGGCGGCTGGCAGGCCAGCGGGGCGCTGCTCCTGAACCGCACGGCCACCCACAATGTGTGGAGCGGATCGGTGGAGATTCCCCAGAACAGCAGCGTGGAGTATCGCTACTTTGCCGCCGCCGTGGGACGCTCCGGCAGCGTGCAGGTCCGTCGCTGGGAGTCGCATGTCCTGCCGCGGTCCTTCAACGTCACCAAGCTGCCAGGCAACCGAAGCGACGAGTTTGGGGTCATCTCTGGCCAGCGGCAGCTGACGCGAGGCTGGCTCCAGGCATCCGGAAACATTGTGCAGCTGAAGGTGTTCCGCGATGCGCTGCGCCTGGAGGAGGATCCCGACTCGGGCCGGGGCACACTGCGGCTGCGCGTACAGCCCGTGGATCCCGTCAGCCTGTCGCCCATCCTGAGCTCCGCCCGCGCCAACGTCGAGTACGTCCGCACGGCCTACGCCGACAGCAAGCTGAGAGCCCAGCCGACGTACGGAGTGCCGTATGCAGCCCAGGATATCCTCATGTACCACGCGACCCTCGACGAAGTGGCGAAGGCGGCCTTCCTGGTGGAGGTGTATGCAGAGCAGCCGGAGGAGGATCTGGTGCGGCTCCTGGGCTACGCCCACCTGCAGCCCACGACCCTGACCGGCAGCGAGGGCAGTGTGACCCTCAGTCTGATTTCGCCGCTGTGGCAGCGGGTGGTGGGAGAGCTGCGGCTGGAGTATCTGCTCATCCGACCCATGGCCAACGAGAGCTTCGACATGCGCACCAGCTTCGCCCACTACTGGCGGGGCAACTGGACGGGCCTGGAGATCGGACACCGGGGACTGGGCAAGAGCCTGACGGTCACTTCGAATGCGGCGCCTCTCATTGAGAACACGCTGGCCTCGATGCTGGCCGCCGTGGAGCTGGGCGCCGATCTCGTGGAGTTCGATGTGCAGCTGACCAGCGATCTGGTGCCGATCATCCACCACGACTGGAGCATCCACGTGTGCATCCATCCCAAGACGCCGAAGAGTCGCGAAGACCTCACCGAGGTCCTGCTGAAGGACATCAGCTACGAGCAGCTGAAGGAGGTGAAGACGTACCAGATCGTGGGCAGCAAGATCGTCGAGTATCCGGCCCACAACAATGTCGAGCAGCTGGAGCAGCGCCTCTTCCCCACCCTGCAGGACTTCTTCGAGCGCGTGAACCAGACCGTGGGCCTGGACATCGAGCTGAAGTGGCCGCAGGCGAAGGCGAACGGGGAGTACGAGAGCGAGCAGACGATCGACAAGAATCTGTTCGTGGACCGCATCCTGGAGGTGGTGCACCAGCACGGCTGCGGGCGCCTCAACCTCCTAAAGAGCTTCGACGTGGACGTGTGCTCCCTGTTGCGCTTCAAGCAGAACATGTACCCCGTGCTGGTCCTCTCCAGCAGCACAAACGACTACTACGCGGATCCACGCACCAGCACAGTGGAGACCATCAACTTTGCCCAGGCCTTCGATCTCGGTGGCATCGCGCCGAACACCGTTCCGATCAAGGCCGATCCCGCGCTGGTGCAGAGCGCCAAGGAACTGGTGCCGCTGGTGCTTGTGTGGGGCGCCGACCTCAAGGACCGCTCCTCCATCGACTCGTTCATCCAGATGGGACCCACGGGCGTCATCTACGACCGCATGGACCTCTGGCTCGCACCCAACCAGACGAGCGCCTTCGAGTCGGAGCAGGATCTGCCCGACTTCTTCCAGCTGCAGTGCGAGCCGGTGCCCGAGAAGCGTGTGGTGAACGCCACCATCGAGAGCATCCTGAGCAACGTTAACTTCCTGTAGTGCTAGCCCACCCCGTATTACACTTACTTACGAGTATTTACATATTTATGCCAGTCAATAAACGAGCTAGAAAGGATCTGCCCTGGACTGCTCCTTAATGGATGGGGTGTGGATGGGGTGCGGGTGCGGGTGGGGATTCCCTGGATAGATTACGAGTTTACATATTCGTAATTTATGTGCCACGTTTTGCCAGTATGAAACGTGAACTTGAAAATTTAAATCTTTAATGAAATCATTGCCACATCCCACCGTTCTGTTGTGGTGCTGATGCTGATGCTGTTGCTGATGCTGGGTTCCATTTGCATACCCATTCCCATTCCAATTCCCATAGCCATAGCCAGTCGCTGGCAATCAACCTGGAGGGGGGTGGCTGCCTGGTTTTGGTTGCCGTTCCGCACGCTTTTCCCCGGCGACAATTACGCGACCTGCAGCTTAGGGGGTTTAGGGGGGTAGTGGGTGTCCGTCCGTGCATATGTAAATACGTACGAGCATCGTGGCATTTATTACATTTATTACAGTCATGTATCCCCGAATCGTCGTGGGTGGGTGTAGGGTGTACGGTGTAGAGTACATTTTTTGTTTGGCAATTTGTTGTGGCGTGGCATGGCTTCGGAGGGGAGAATTGACATAAATAATTGAATATGCAAAACGTTGAATAGCCAAAACAAATGTGCAAATTGCCGCAAATAATAATTGCAATGACCTGAGCCACAAACTCGTACATGATCCTATCTGTGGGCACAATCTATAACTTATTCTCAACTCAAAAAACCCACGATTAGATTTTAATTTAATCTTATCTTCTCGCCCTCCCCACCTGTGTGTGTTTGCAGCGCCAGCTGATGGAGGCGTACATCCGGCAGAAGAGAGCCTCGCCGGGCATGGTGCAGGCCAGCGATCTGCAGATCAGCCGACCCATGTCCGGCATGCGAAGCAACAGCCGCGAACTGCATGCCTATGACGGACCGATGCAGTTCATCAGCTCGCCACAGAATCCCGACCAGATACTGACCAACGGCAGCCCCGTTGGGGGGGCTTCGGTCGCCATGAATTCAACTCGAAATCACTCGAACAACATGCGAAGCCTGAGCACCATCAACCAGGAGGGTATGATACAATCGACAATCGAACCATACAATCTCTAGTACTTTAGATAATGAGTGCGCTCCTCCATCCACAGCGGATCTAATCGAGGAGATCTCGTCGCACGAGCTGGAGGACGAAGAGAGCAGTCCCGTGACGGTGATCGAGCAGCAACAGACCGCCCCGCACAGCGCCAACTCCACGCACTCGCAGCGCCCGAACACCGCCCGCCAGCAGTCCTTCAACGATACGCTGGACGAGGATGACTACACCAACCGCAACATAGCGGGTGCGGCACCCGTCCGACCCGTTGGACTGGCCTCCTCGCCCTACAAGGAGGCGGGTCTGGACGGCAGCAGCGGCATGGGCACATCCAATGGAACTGGTGGGGAGTCCGAGGGCGATGTGATCGGCAACATCGATCAGTTTGTGATGCAGCCAGCGCCACAGGGAGTCCTGTACAAGTGCCGCATCACCCGCGATCGCAAGGGCATGGACCGGGGCCTGTTTCCCATTTACTATTTGCACCTGGAGCGGGACTATGGAAAGAAGATCTTTCTGCTGGGAGGTGGGTCTTTGGGTCTTTGGCTTTCCTCTCTGGGAACTCTCATCCTACCCTATCGATGCCGTTGCAGGTCGCAAGCGGAAGAAGAGCAAGACGTCGAACTACATTGTCAGCTGCGATCCCACTGATCTGTCGCGCAGCGCTGATGGCTTCTGTGGCAAGCTGCGATCGAATGTCTTTGGCACATCCTTCACGGTCTTTGACAGTGGCAACAAGGACAGCGCGGACAGTCCGCGTCTCGACCTGGCCGTCATCATCTACGTGAGTACAGCAGAGTTCAGAGTGGGAGAAGAGTTGATCCCAAGGGTTATTTGCATTACCGAACAGGACACCAACATACTGGGATTCAAGGGACCCCGCAACATGACTGTGATACTGCCGGGCATGACTGAGGACGATCAGCGTGTCAAGATCAGTTCAGCGGACCCCAAGCAGACGGGCATACTCGACCTCTACAAGATGAAGGTAGGCGATCCGATTGCAGCGAGTGGCGTGCAGTAATTGAACAATCTTTTGCAGAACATGGACAACATTGTGGAGCTGCACAACAAGACGCCCGTGTGGAACGACGAGACGCAGTCGTATGTGCTCAACTTCCATGGCCGCGTCACGCAGGCGTCGGTGAAGAACTTTCAGCTGGTGCACGACTCCGATCCCGAGTACATTGTGATGCAGTTCGGTCGCACCTCCGAGGATGTGTTCACCATGGACTATCGCTATCCACTGTGCGCCATGCAAGCCTTTTCCATAGCCCTCAGCAGTTTCGATGGCAAAATAGCCTGCGAGTGAGGGGAGGGGTAGGCGTTGTTAGCCAGAGGATTCCATCCCAGAATCTGTCCCGCTGCCTTATGTATAGATGTATGGATCGTGAGATCGTGGATCATGCCACCGGGTGGAGCAACATGGAGATAGATGCATTATTGATGATTGCCTCAGAAATCTAGTCACTCGTAGTAGGACAACATTGATATATGTAGGATATGTATAGGATATGTGTGTGTAGCTCCTCCCCTCATTGTAGGTCCAACATCTGTTCAGAATGTGCTCACCGATTTTGTAAAGAATTATATATATATATATATATATATATATATATATAGTAGGTTCATAGTTGAGTATTTCGTTTGTGGAACTTCTAAATGTGCCCCCTACCCCTACCCCTCCCCCTCCCTGTACACAATAAGCGACTCGAGATAAAGGTTAAATATCATCAATCAATTTGATAGTCTGCATATAGCAACCAAACTAAATCCAATGCGATCACTATTAGCCGTTAAGAGAGCATACTAACTTGTGCTGAGCTCGAACTATGTTTAAGGTGCCACGCCCAAAGATGTAAAGATTCTACGTGTATTTATGTATTTACGACTCAATAAATATCACACCAACATACAACATAGTTATTTTTAATTTTTATTTTTATTTTATTTGGAGGAAACCCATGGTAAAGTTATGTTTTAGCTTAGTTGATGTTTTCTTTAAGTTATCGTTAAGTACATTTATTTTTGAGTTTTTGCAAAGGTAAATGCAAGTTTCCCAGCTGTCAATACAAATTATAGACGCGTATTTACATAATAAATAACCATTTTTCACTCATTTTTCAGTTGACGGCTCCATCACATTGAAAGTGTGCCACAAACAGTGAGCACAATAGTTGTATATAGTTGTTTATAACTAAACGAGAGAGTACTGTACTCTGGGAATAGCATCATGGAATATCCTTTATGCTTAATCAGACTCTGAACCCTTCACGGAATGCGAGATACTCATCACTCAACATAAAATTATGCTAGGCTTTTGTCTTTATACATTATACATTATCTTTGCGCCGTTTTATGCCCGCTTTTGCTATGACCGTTTGCGAGACTTGTGTGGACTTGCCCCATCCTGGGGCAGCTTAAACTCGTGCGGATCGTAGTCCTCGTACGCGAGCTGCCGCTCTGGCGCCGACTCAGGTAACTTGTTGATTTTCTGCAGTCGCGAATGGACAATCTGCAGGTGGCGACCAATGTAGTCCTCGGCGGGAGCCAGTCGTTGGGCATGTTGCAGGCAGACAGCGGCCTTGGCCAGTCGCTTGCGCTCCACAAACACCACGCACAGATTGTGCAGTCCTTGGGTATTCTGGGGATCGTAGTGAAGGATGCTGCGATAGCATTTCTCGGCCGCATCCAGATCTTTCATGTGATTGATGTAGATGTCGCCCAGCAGGATGAGGCCCTTCACATGCGAGGCGTGGTGGCGTATCAGCTGGTTGAGGTAGGGCACCGCATCCAGGGGCCGCTTCGTGTCCGCCAGCAGCAGGGCCAGATTGAAGAGCGCACTGCGAAAGTCCGACTTGAGGTGAATGGCTCGCTTGAAGAACTGTTCCGCCTCTTCGAAGCTGGACTCGTCCATGGCCAGCATGCCCAGATTGAAGTAGACCTTCTCGTTGTGATCATCCTTGGCCAGCACCTTGTACAGGCGCGACCGGGACACCTTGCGCGCCTCCTCGCCCCCCAGCTCCTGAAGCAGAATCGCCGAATTGAGCAGCGCCTGCTCGTGCTCCGGATACAGCTCGATGGCCTTGTTGAAATACACCTGAGCCTGCTGGCTCTTGCCCTGCTCCAGAAATACCACGCCCAGGTTGTAGTAGATGTCCGCGTTCTCGCTGTCATACAGCAGAGCCTGCTCGTACACCTCCTGCGCCTGGGCCGTGCGATTGAGCTTCATCAGAATGTCGCCGCGGTTGATGTAGGCCTGCAAGTAACGCAATCAAACATTATATTACAATTCCCAGTCTGGGGGGAATCCAAGGGATCTCACCTGAACGTAGTCACTCCTCATGCTGATGGCCTGGCGATAGAGATGGTCGGCCTCCTCGAGTCGTGTCTGGTTCTTGGCTATGAGATTCGCCAGGTTGATGAAAACATTCAAGTGATTGGGCGCTATGCGCGCATGATAGCTGACTCCTGGCTTGGCCTGCGGAAACAGAGCCTTGGCCTTCACGTAGGCCTGCTCTGCCTCCGCGTAGCGCTTGAGATTGTTGAACGTCCGGCCGACGTTGATGTGAGCACCAATGTCGTCGGTTTGAATGCGCACCGCCTGCTGAAAGTAGAGCAGGGCCTCCTCGTACCCTCCCTCGTTCTCCAGGGCGTGTCCCACATTGTTGTAGAGCTTGGCGTTGCGCTGATTCACATGCACACCGGACATGAACAGAGAGTATTCCGTCCGCCAGTCGCGATTGCGTTGATGGGTCTTCAGGGCGTGGGAGACCAGCAAAACGCCGAGGGCCAGCTGTCCCAAGGTCCTCCATTTGAGGCTCCAACGTCGCTGCAGCTGCTCGAAGCCGTAGGCCACCAGCAGACAGTAGCCCATCGATGGCATGTACAGAATGCGTTCGGCCACCACAAAACCCACCGGGAAGAACAGATTGGAGGCCGGCAGAAAGGGCAGCACCATCCACCCGAGGCACATGAGCAGCGTCCGCGATTGGGCCAGATTGCGGGTGAAGCAGGCCTTGGCCACCAGCGCTCCCAGGGCCAGGAAGGTGCACAGAGTGGTCACATTGCGGGCATCCGCGAATCCCTCCAGAAGCGGAACAGTGCCTGAGGAGGAGCGTTTAGAAGGGAGACTCGTTTGAATTAATTATTACACTCACCCATGGTCCAGTCGCAGCAGAGCAGAGAGGGGCACAGGAGGAGCCAGCAGTTTAGGTAGATGAGGTAGCCGTAGGTGAGCTGCCGTTCGGGCGTATCTGCCGCCGAAGCTGGATTGTCGAAGCGCGTGAAAATGGGCAACTGTGAGCCCATCACATAGACACGCCCTGCCAGAAGGGCCACCGTGATGCCGGCCAGGAAGCACAAGCGTTTCCACAGAGCCGACGACGACCAGCGACGAGCGCCCGACAAATTGCCCAGCTTGGGGGACTGCTGCTGGTCGGGCTGCTCCTCAAAGAAACGCAGCACAAAGTGGCACAAATGCAGCGGTCGCAGTTGATGAACGACGAACAGCTCGTAGACGACGCATATTCCGGCAATGGTGATGCCCTGCTCCTTGCACAGCATGGAGGCCGAAAGGCAACTGCCAAAGCAGAGGAACAGTCCCAGCCAATTGGTGCGTCGCGTGCAGCCAGAATCGCCGACGGACTTCGCGTAGCTGAGAAAGGCGGCCAGGAAGCAGATGGAAGAGAGCAATTCAGCGCGGCCGACGACGCCAGTAACGGCCTCCGTGTGCACCGGGTGAATGGCAAAGAGCAGCGAGGCCACAAAGGCGCATGTGTTGAGCGAGGACGATGTTGCATTACTGCCCACGGCCGCACACTGGCGGAGCAGCAGCCGGCACACCCGACGCCACAGCAGGCAGACCATCAAGTGCAGCAGCAGGTTGACGAGATGGTAGCCAAACGGCTCCAGTGCATGCAGCAAGTAGTTGAAGCGGAACGTCAGCACTGTGAGCGGTCGGTAGGACTTGTGGGACTGCTCTTTGCGCATCGGTGTGCCCCAAAAATCGTTAAGGAACACATTACGCAGTGGCGTGTGGGGCCTCAGGTCCTTGTTATCCCTTATCGCACTGATGTCATCGAACACGAGTCCGCACTGTGTGCTGTTGTAATAGCATGCGATGCACGCAACACAGATGCACACAAACTCGAGCAGGTTACGCTGCGAGGAGCTGCCGATGCCGATGCCGCTGCTCCTGACCACCACCTCTCTCTGCCGGTTACGGTTGCATGGTTGCATGGCAAAGGCTGCTGCCTGAACTTGTGGCAGCTGAGGGCTAGCGCTGACGCTGACGCTGGCGCTGGAGTTGGGGTTCGTTGACATGTTGACTTCGCGTTACTTCGTGAATTCGTGAAACGTTTCATGTATCCATAATTGCTTATTCATTCGATGGAATGTTGCATGTAGGGGCCTTTTCCTGATTCTACTATGGAAGGGTTTTTGGGGTTGTCTACATGGTCTGGAAGTAAATGGCATAGAAATGAAGAAAATTAGTTGGAAAATGTCATCTAGAGTATCTAGTATCATTAGAAATAGGATGAGATTTCTCTATAGACATATACGCTGAAAAGTATGCTTTAAAATTATAGCCCTGCCATAATAGTTAGTATGTATATCAGTCCTCCATCTGATTCCAGTATACTGTAGCTATAGCTACACATTCTAGTTACTTTTTGCAGTAACTTATGCACACACTCACACAGATGTACATACAAGAATCATAGATACATACCCGCAGGGACTGTTCCTTACTTTCACACAAATCTCATCTTTATAGTCCCCTTGAATCCACACACACACACACACCTTTTGGCTTCTATTCAAGGGCCGCTTTTAATGGCAGACTTTCTTCCGTTTTTTTATGACCACTTGCGGGTTTTACAAGGAAGCAAAAACTGATTGCGGAAAAATCAATTAACGCGCAACAAAGTAACTTTGTCCCGGTTACTGTCCTCGATACCAACTGCACACACAAAAGGCCCGAAGTTAACAAAGTTGTAAATGGAGGCAGCGACTCGGCCCGACCGCTGGAAGATCCGGAGCCCAGAGCGAGCCGGCATACGGCCGGAGAGGGAGAGAGAGAGAGACGGCTACGGAGAGCGATGAAAAATTGCAGGCAGCCAGCGAGAGTCGGAGAGTTTTGTTTGTGCTTTAAATATAATGGAAGGCGGAGGAGGAGCCAGAACATGAGCATTACTAGGCGGGGCACATCGGCATGCGGATGTGGGTGTGGATGTAGATGAGGATGCAACATGGAGAGGCAGGCAACAATGTTGCGCTCAATGTCATCGATTTTCGAGGCGGACAGTCAAAACAAACCACCACCGAAGTAAGCGCTCGTAAAGAGAAGGCAGCTGAGCGCAACTTTGTTGCACGACCGAGTTTTCCCGAAGGACGACGCAGGATGGTGTTGCACGTGGTGCTCTGTCTGTTTTCCCGCCAATTGCGGCGCATGAGCTCTCACATCCTTGCACTTTCACTTCGTAGCTTCTCTATCGCTCTCACCATCTCGGAGCACTCTCCGGCTCTCTCTGCTGAAATTAATGGATGTTTGTGTTTTTGTAAAATTACTTTGACCGAGATACGCCGCGGAGCTGCAGCTCGAGAGGCTGCCACACGCCATCCTCTCCCATGCGCTTTGACATGGACATGGAAATCGCAAAGCCATTACAACAGCGGAGTCCCAGCGGCGGCCACACACCCACACAAGCAAACAAATGCGAATCCACCAAAACTTTGTTGCAATTTTGCAATGATTACAATGTTGCTGGGGAAATTACGAGGTTGGCTATAGTTTCAACGTTAGGGGAGTCAAGTCTGCTTACCGTAGTTAGTTAGTAATTTACTTGTTGAGGCAGTTTCATTTTAGCAAAATAAAGTTACATTTTAACACAAATAACCCTGTTTTGTTGTTTTGTTGTATATCGATAAAATATTTATCGGTAAAATATACCGTCGCCCATCAGAAATATACCTTTTCATGGTAGAAAAATTAAACCGTAAATATACCGATGAAAATCATATTCCTCAATTTTAAAATTCGATCTAATGTTACTAGCTAGCTAGGACCCCCGGCGCTAAGCATATAATTTAATCCAATTGATTAATACATTTTGTACAGAGAAGGTCCCTATTTTACATAATAACTACACGGTAACTAACCATTTGCTAGCGATAGTCAAAACAACCCTAACAACGCGACTGTATCGATAGGGCCCATAATTGTTTTCCATCTCTGGCCGCGTTTTTAGTAAAAGTTGGAAAAATTTGTGTTTTTCCTGAAAAAATTAATTAAAACATCACAAATACAGCTGTGGAACCATCATGGCTTCCGAGGACTTCTATTTGCGCTATTATGTGGGTCACAAGGGCAAGTTTGGCCACGAGTTTCTAGAGTTCGAGTTCCGGCCGGACGGCAAGTTGCGGTACGCCAACAATTCCAACTACAAGAACGACACCATGATCCGCAAGGAGGCGTTCGTGCACCAGTCCGTCATGGAAGAGCTGAAACGCATCATAATTGATTCGGAAATAATGCAGGAGGACGATTTGCCCTGGCCGCCACCAGATCGCGTGGGTCGCCAGGTAAGTGGCCACAACGCTGAATGACGGCAAGAATGACACAAGCATTTTTCAGGAACTGGAGATTGTGATTGGCGACGAGCACATCTCGTTTACTACCTCAAAAACGGGCTCCTTGGTGGACGTGAATCGCTCAAAGGACCCCGAGGGCTTGCGCTGCTTCTATTATCTTGTGCAGGATCTAAAGTGTCTGGTCTTCTCGCTCATCGGTCTCCACTTCAAGATCAAGCCCATATAACCGACCCAAGCAGCACATATTCAATTTTACGCATAAGTCTATTTAAACAGACGCATTATATTTTGTAACAAAGCCTCTACAATACTAGTACTTGTATTAGCCCTAATGCTCCTCTACTGATAGTACAACATTTATGTACAGTTTGGAGATCGCTCTGGAAAACTGAAAGAAGTGAAGTCTGTGTAATGAATAATAAATGACCATGAAACATCCATACGTTTGTGTCAAGGAAAATTTACAGCTTCTTTAGGGGACTAGGAAATGACATCATAATTGACTCTTTTGGTTTCATGTTTTCTGCTGGATCGAATAGCACCGCGTAATGTTTGTACATTTATGCATACATATGTATGCACAGGGCTGCTCTTCCTCTCCTTTCACTCTTTTACTCTACCACTCTTTTTCTTTACCAGCTTCTCTTATCTCACACAATACATACTCATATTGCATCCTACATATTTCTCTCTATCAGCAAATTCCTTTTTGATCTACCTTCTATTGCTCTCTCTCTCACCAACACTACTGCATTAATCACACATTTAAAAAATAGCGGATTACTCTCCTGCGTAGTTTCTGTCTTTGCCTATTGATCCTCTCTCTTGCTTTCATCATTCTGCTCAACTACAGTTATGCTTTTATTTTAAAAATCTACGACATATACACATTTTGAGGCAAAGTCAAGCGCGATCCAAGCCGTCTAGCCGATCGAAGCACTCAAGTTTATCAGAGAAACCGGAGATCTAAACAATAAAGGGTCTTATACATATGTACATACATATCCACAGGCTAGCCTGTGTATAAGCTGTGTCTCACATATACACACATGTACGTATGTGTATCATAAAACTGCGCACTCGGCACTTTTCTGTCAAAGAAGGGTCGGAAAGTGGAACCAAAAATCAGTTTTGTGAGGGAGCCGTAAGTGAACAGACGCAAAAAAGAAAGAGAAGCATCGGTTGGTTAACTAATTACAGAATTGTGGTGGAATTACTATCCTGTGCATTGCTATTATTTCCTCTCTCCGCAGAATTCAAGATGAGTCGCAGAGATCCATGGAACAGCAAATATCAATACCAGTACGAAGTCAAGTCATATGGCAATAATGACAACCAAGGCCAGGGCGGCAGCCACTACGCCGCCATTGCCCCGCAACCAAATAGGGGCCAGAACTCGAATTCGCGCGGAGCACTCTGCAGTGAGACAAAGTATCAGGTCACGGTCACCAAACGGGAATTCTACACGGCTCCCGAAAACACGGCTCAAGGCCGTGGAGCAGTCCAGTACGGCGGTCAAGGCGGCAGCCATGGCCCAGCCGTCCAACAAAATAGTGTCGTCGCCAAATCGAATTCGCGTGGTGCTCGCAGAGCAGAGCGTGCCTATGAAAGACGGGCCCAGGCTACAGTCGATGCCATCGATCGCGAATTGGCCAAGGATCCAGGCTATCACAAGTGGATAGCAGAAGAGCGTGGAGAAGACTTTTATTATTAAAAGTCGTTTAAAATGCAGTTTAATCTGTGGCAGGACTGGAGATGTCATAAGTTTTCGTTTCATCACATCAACCAGCGGGTTCCATCCCATCCCAGACAGCTGCTCATCCTACAATGCATTGTATCGCATTCCAAATGAATTTTCAATAAATATTCGAAATATTTGAAAATTTTCTGGCCTTGTTTCTTGAATTTAAAATTTTAAAATGGGGCTCAATACAAGATGGCGCATTTTCTTTTGTCAGTATCTATTGGCAGCTGGGTGCAGTTTTTATCTTTGCTTTAAGAATCACTTTAATGCAGCTCCATTGCAATGAAACAACGTCATAGCTGCTTAATCAATTTTATATATGTATGCGGATTTATAAAATACTTGTGAATAAAATATTGAAGCCCTTTACATTTGTACATTTACAATCTAATATTAGAATACATACATATAAAACAGTAAGTAAAATGCAGTAAATATCTCACATTCTGATATGCCTATACGGGTAATGTCTGGATAATCTCTAAGCCTACGCCACTTAATGGGACTGGTATAAAAGATGCATTCACGAAACGGTCGCGAGATTCGTTAAGTGTTAGATTTACAGAGGCTTACTAAATTCAGTCTTTGGGGTTACCTAATTAAGTACTAATTACAAACAATTCTCCCCACGATCGAGCACTAGAGAAAGCTCTTGTAGAGCCGGATTCGTAGATCTCAGAGTCATAACTGTGGCTGCTGTTGATGCAGGGCCAGAGTGGCCGCAATATTGTTACTGGGTCGCTCCACATAGCCACCGTGTCCGGGCATGGGCATGGACATTGGCATCTCCAATTGCTGGTGGTGATGTAGCTGTTGCTGATGCTGTTGATGTTGCTGTTGGAGTTGGAGTTGCTGCTGGATATGCTGTTGCTGTTGGATGCTTTGCTGGTTTTGCTGCGGTAGCTGCGGCTGTTGCTGGTGTGATGGCAGTGATGGCGCTTTAATCTGTCCGGGAGATGCTTGGAGTGGAGTGTTGCTGCCCAGACCAGCACTGCTGCCGCCGGGACTGGGTCCGCCCTCTTTCAAAGGACAGCCAATGGTGAGACGCACATGCAGACCCGACTCCTTGATGAGATTCACAACATCGCCGTGGGACATGCCAGCTATTTCGATCCGATTCACGGCTATAATGCGGTCGCCCACCTTGAGCTCCCCACAACGATCCGCTGGACTGCCGGGAATCAGTTTTCCTAGGGATCCAAGTGAAACATAAGATTATTGCGTTTCAGCTTCTAGATTCGATGACACCGCCTTACCTATGGTCGAGCCATAATAGTGATTCGATGAGGATATTATGACAAAGCCAAAGCCCTCGTTCTCGTGTCGGCTGACAATGACATCGTAGGGATACCGCCGCATCTGCGTTACGAGTGGCGGAGCCTGCTGCAGAAGTGCACCTCGTCGACGTCGCAGGATCATGGTGACCTGGCCACGCAGACCAGATTCACCCACCAAAGAGACGACTTTGTGATGCGAAGAGTTGAGCTGCGGGAAACAGATTAGCACAGGGCTTTCGTGAGCCACACGATCCGCTCACTTACCACATTGATGCCATCGATGCTGAGTATCTCATCGCCGGTGGCTATGCGCTGATCCAGGTCCGCGGCCCCACCTGGGACAATGTGCCCGACAGTCACCTGGGAGCCCTCCTCGGTGCCGCCGACAATGCGGAAACCAAATCCAAGAGCCTGACGCTCCAATGTCACCTCGGTCAGCTCACACTGGTCCGCGTCCTCGGAGACATCGAGCAAGGCCCCGTTGCGCCAGCTGGGCGAGTGCTGCATCTGCTGCTGCGGAGGATCGAGGTTGGCAAAGCCCACGCGCCTGCGATCGCTGAGCAGCTCGTTGACACGCCGCTGTATCCGCTCGTTCTGGATGTGGGCCGCCTGCAGGGGCGAGTACTGGCCGCTTCCTCCGGGGATCGTGGACTGCTGCGGCGGCACAAAGTAGCCCGGACGGTAGCGCTGGGCCTGGCAGTCGTAGCAGTAGCAGGATTCGTGATGGGTAAGCGGCAGTGGCAACGGCTGCATGCTGGGCGGCAGGCCATAGATGCCACCTCCATTATCCGCCTGAAGGGAGGCCTCCGCCAGGCGTTCGCTCAGCCGACTGACCATCTTGGGATAGGGATCCATGAAGGGTATGTCGTCCAGCTCCTGGAGACTGCTGTTCGACTTGCCCTGAGTGTGCAGCTGTAGAGGCTTTCTCGCCTCCGTCTCATCCGCTGGCACGTCTTCGCCATCCACCTCATTGCTGGGCGTCTGGACCCTGGCACGTCGTGTGTCCACCAAGGGCGTCTTCGGGCGCATCGGCAGCACCTCCTTGACTTGGGTGCTGTACAGGTCCGCCGTGGGGGTCTTGCTGCGGAAGAGACCGCTGCCCACAAAGTTCTTGCGCAGCTTGGCCACGTTCCCCACCTGATTGAGCTGACCGAGCTGACTGAGCGGATTGGCAGGCGGATCGGGGGGCGTGCGCTGGATCTTCACGGCTGTGGGCGTCGTCTGGCTGCACTCCTTCAACAGCTCGACCACATAGAAGTGCGGCTTGTTCCGAACGTTGATTCCATTGATCTCCAGCAGGACATCGCCCTCCATTAGCTGCGTGCAGCAGCTGCGATCAAGAATTTTCTTGACGATCTGGCCGCAGGCGGAGTCGGCAATGGTGAAGCCAAAGCCCATAGCTCCCTTCATGATCGAGAAGGTGTAGAGTTCCGGCTTCTTCATCAGAATGAAGCCACTGCCACTCGCCTTGCCGGCCCCTTCTCCGGACAGGTCTAGAAAGTTGTAGTTGCCATCCATGTTGAGGCGACGCTGCTTGTCGGAGTCGCGTCCATCCACAGCCATGGTGGTCACCACCTCCGTGTTGGGATCGTTGGTATCGAAGGGCAGCGGATAGCCGCGACACACCTCCAGGGCAGCCCTCTCCCCGGGCAGTATCGACTGGAATATGTTTACCATATCGTGATGCGTGTAGCCCAGGACGCAGGTGTCGTTCACATAGACCAGAACGTCGCCCGTCTGCAGCTGACCATCCAGCCAGGCGGGACCATTGGGCACCACGGTTTTGATCTGCAAGAACTCCTCCACATCGCCGCCAGCGCTGCCGTCGCTACCAACGATGGTGAATCCCAGGCCACGGGTGGACTTGAGCAGCGTGGTGTTGATGCGCTGGCCCTGCAGCTCTGCGGGATTGCGGGTGAACTTGTAGAGCAGCTTGAGTGGCGCTTCATCCTCCACCTCCGCAGGAAGAAGGTTCCCGTCCACCGCCGTTGGCGTCTTGGAACGCTGATCCTGCTCCTGCTGCTGCTGCTGAAGATTCTGTTGCTGTTGCTGTTTGTTGCTGTAGCTGAAGATTCTGTTGCTGTTGCTGTTGTTGCTGCTGCTGCTGTTGCTGCTGATGCTGACGTTGCTCGGCAGCTCTCCTCTTGGCCTCCAGCACGGGGTTCTCGTACTGCGTCCTGCGATTCACATGATCGATAAAGTACATGCCGTACATGGAGTCCTCGATCTTCTCCCAGCCGTAGGGCAGCTCGTCCTCGCAGCAGTCCTCCAGCGACTTCTTCTGGTACTTGGACAGGCGAGGGTCCAGCCAATGGGAGGTTCCAGTGTTGTGGCTGTCATGGGACGGAGATCATCGTCAGTTCAACGCCACGATTTAGATTTGGGAGCATTCTACTTACTCTATAAAGTACAATTCGCCGCGTTCGGTGTAGGCGGTCTCCCATTTAGGGGGCAGTGGTCCCAGGCCATCGCCTGGATCATCGTGGTTGCCATCTCCGCCGCCGCACTCGCTGCCCAGACTGCCCTCACCAGCCTCGCCGTTGTAGTACGTGTTCTGCAGGAGATTCTCTGCAATGAAGAAGAGAAAAAGTTTGGTTAAACCCGACCTCAAATCGTTCATTGAACCCAAATGCAGGAGGTTGCAATTCGTGAAACAGAGTCACAGAGCTGATTGCTCAGCCACCCGAAAATAGTTTGGCATGGCATGACCCCCCTACCCCCCCACATTGACTGGACACTGCCCCACTGCCATCCATTCGACTGTCGGTTGATTGAAGCGTTAAGAGTTTTCGATTGGGGCAAGCCGGTATTATAATTATTATTAGCATCTGTGTGGTGCTGTGTGGTGCTGTGGCTGTGCTGTCAGTGGTCAGGGGACGACAGTTGCCCAGCAGGCTCTAGTTAGGCTAATGACCTACTTTCCACATCCACAGAGAGAGTGGTATGGGATGGGTTGTGGGTAGTCGCAATGATTCGCCACTCGGGTTGGATGCGGCGATGAGTAATGGAGAAATTTTAATTATGGCCAAGTCCGACCTGACCCCTTTAAGCGGAAAGATGGAATGGCCTATGCAATTTACCAAGGTTACACCGTTTGAGAGATCTTACATGTAAGATTATCTGCAACAGTGAGTCACACTTCAGTAATTCTAAGAAAATCTTACTTCAAAGCCCACCTCTAAGCAGAATCGAATCAGGCCTGACTTAATAATTATGCTAAAATATACATGGATGTCGCCAGACTTTAGACCACTCATCGTTAACCCCTTTTAAGGTGCATGCCCCCCCACATGTACTCCATATGTATACTAAACATAGATAGAGACCCATGGAATAGGGCTAATCGAATGAGGGGGCCGGGCCCCAGAGACTGAAAGACCCACCTGGCCATCATATTCCACAGCATACGAGTGTTGCGAATCATTTGAATAGAAAGATGAATATTTATGCCAGACACTTGCAAGTGGAACACGCCGCATGCTGGAGAGAGGGGCGTCGAACGAAGCGAGACAGAAGCGCGCGACACACTGCTAAACGGTAAAAGCGCCGTCTTCTCCCGTGTTTGATTTAGCTTTTTCTTTCTCCTAGATTTATTTGCTTCCCCTCATCAATGGTAAATGAGAGAGAGAGAGAGAGAGAGCTCGTTCAAATAACTGCAGTCAGTCTAGTCTGCAGTATGCAAAAGATGTGTGTGTGTGTGTGTGAGCTTGGGAGTTTGTGCATGTGCATGAGATTGGAGCTCTACCAGCATGCATGGTGCATATTATACAAGGTTATGTATCAAGCAACTCACAGCCATATGATATCGGGAAAGGCTGCACTTTATTTTGTTACACCTTGCAAGCACGGAAGTTGCTGGCGGCACAGTTTGACTCCCTCCGCCCAGTTGCTTCTCCTACTCCGCTTTTGATTCATCGTTTGCTTTTGCGCTGCTTTCGTTCTCAACTCCACTGCTTGCACACTGCATTGTGTAAATATTTGTACAAGCAGACGAACGATGAAGGCGATTGGGAGAGGGGAGAGGGAGCGTATTTGATCGCCAGATGTAGCATAGAATACTATTCACAGCTGCACGCGTGTGTGTTTGGTTTGTGTGTGTGTGTTCAGGTAATACTTCGACTAGAGATGCACCACCTAATGGGAATTCACTTCACGTTTACCTTACCACACCCACACCCACACACGGCTGTGGCTATTGCTCTCCATCCATGCACCTATGTATGTATGTACATATGTATGTATGTACTTTTGCTCTAATCTTCTCTGCTTTTAAGCAAATATGAAAACAGTATAAGTATCACCGACACGCATTCGCCGTTACGTTATTAGTTCTCTGCTGTTATCTATGCTGAAAATGTATCTCTTACATACACATGTATGTATGTATGTATTTGCATACGTTCATATGTAGATAAGCAGTGCAAATGATTGTTTTTCGAATGAATCATCATATTAGAAGAGGAATAGAGTTTCAGGTATAATGGCGGAACAGTCTAGAGTCTAGCCTTTATGTATCAGCTTTCACGATCTATACTTAAATCTCTTTTTAAAGCACTTTCCTCACAGATGTTTCATGATGATGGTAGCTTACAGGGCGGAGAATAAATCGGTATGCCTTGTCAGCCAGCTCATAAAAGTGACTCATCCTCTGAGAATGTTGGCCTTAACGGATCCAAGAAGAATTCAAGAAAAAACGCACTCAAGTTGGAGCCTTTTTTTCTCTGCTGAACAAAGAATATCCATTACTCATAATTACAGGGATTGCCATAACGATAATATGATGATAATGATTGACACACGGATCGGTACCACAGATTGTGGCTAATTGCATTTCGAATTTAGAGATAGAGAGAGAGCGAGAGAGAAATTCGAAGAACAGTTCAGTTCAGTGCAGAGAGATCAATCTGATAGATAATTGGGGAATGCATTAATGCTTCGGTAAACGTCTAAAAATAATGATGCAAGCGAGTACTACAGGAACAACAGAAAGAACTCTAAACAAAGAGAGCAGAGCAGATCAGATCAGAGCGGAACAAAACAGAACAAAACAGAGGCAGAGGCAGACTTTCGGCGAACATGTGGTGCGGCCTGCGGCCTGCAGCCTGTGCCACCATTGAAGCAGATCCACATACAGATACCGACAATCCCCCAGAATCTGCCACAGAGCACACAAATTACATAAAAGCTGAACACAGCCAGTACGCACGGTCATTGACTTTGAGGCCCATTGACAGAAAACAAAAGTCAAACACAGACAACAGAAACAGAGCTACGCACGCGTCGTAACGGCGAGAGGAGGTGAATGGGGGTTATAGAGCGGGCCAAGCGGGCCAAGCGGACAAGGCAAGGGGGCGTGACTCGGCCAGGCCGTTACGGAGTTGTGGCCTCAGCTCTTAATTTCGCATTTGGAACCTAAATGCTGTTAAAAATACCATTATCTAATTGCCAATGCTATCCACTCTTTCAAGGTTCCAGCGATCTCCAAACTATCACAGTCACATCAGTCAGAGTCTCAACATCGATCTACTCCGCTGACTCCAAAAGTTCATGCTCGCCACGTTCGGGTATTGCCACTTGTAAGCTGTCACCGGGAGTCGTGTGTCTTTCAACACGATCAGAGTACAGCATGAGGAATGCAACGAAATCTTTTAAACACGTAAATGATGGTGACCACATAAGAGTCCCAGGATTGGGGTCAAAGTGTTCCCCCTTTAGAGGAATCTGGATGATCATTCTCTTTCTTCTGAGCAATTAAAACAGATCTTTCGAATGTTTAGCCACTCCTAACAAAGTGAGAGAGCCCCTATTCCGCGTACAGCTTTAATTTGTGTAATTCCCGGAGTAACGTAAACGTAAACGAAAACGTAAACATAAATTAGCCAGTAATGAGCCGCTTGTTCTGCCACTCTAGCACTACGGATGCATATCCCGTCTAGACCGCTAGACTGCTTGAACTGAAGCTGCAGCTGTATCTGTATCTAGAGCTGGAGTTTCTGGAGTTTCCCCCACGTTACGGAATGTCCACTTGAGCATACGACGGAGGGGGTTCCATTATGGGGCAGCAAGAACAAGAACTCGTAATTTACTCGGACCTACACTCGTATGCAGTCCTCGGGAATTACTCCCGCCCGCATTCGCATGGTATGCGACGCCGCCTCTTTGAATAGAGCCCGCTGCTTGCAACTTGCTACTTTGTGCCACACTGTGTGTCTGCCTCTGTGTGTGCGCCTCTCAATTGATGTCATCGAGTCAAGCAACGTGTGCGCCCACTTGGGGGCAGCATGAACCCAACTTTGTCTTTGTTCTCGCAGGGAAAAGGGGCGGAGACGACGGGCATGGCTGTGTGTCATTTGTGACATGACTCCTTATACTTATAGTTCTCTCCTTCTTGGACGTGGATGCGGACTCCCCTCTTTTGGTGCTTCGCCTAATGATTGCATCTAATTGGCTTTGCTGCTTCGTTAACTTGGCTTACATGGCACGCCATAAACTAGTGGATCTGCTCCCTGGCTCCCTGGCTGTCGTAATCAAGAAATTAATAATCGCATCATATGATGATGCAGGGACAGGGTACTCTCCCACTCCACTCCATTCTGCTCCACTCCGCACCACAACTCCAACTCCAAAGCCCCGCTGAAAGTTCTCCACACTGCCGCCTGCTAATTGCCTCTGACGTGAGGCGTAAATGATAAGCAAGAAAAAATATATTTATAAAAAAAACATTGTGCGCTGAGGGTCCCGCTTCCTCTACACGTGGGTGAGCTCAAGTCCACGAGGAGTTCATTGCCACCACTTGGAGGAGTCTCAGACTCAGCCCGCCAGATTAACATCCTCATTCCCAGAGAGCTTTATTTCTGAGTCTAAGCAAACCATCACATGGCCACTAATTGAGTTGAAACAGCCCCAACTCTGGAGATACTTTGGCCACAGGTGTTGCCCAAGAGGATCCCCCAAAAACTGGTTGCCAAACCCGCCTAACAATGGCCTGGACAGACTAAATGGTAGGGAAATTAAGCGAAGCGGCAAAGTCTCCACAGATGATTCAGTCAGATACAAAACTAAACCACAAACTTGCCCAACTTCCGAAAACGATTCCCCGATCCACACGCGGCTGGTGTTGTACATAATTATATTTAAAACAGATAGATGAGGTGAATGTGTGTGGGTTTGGCTTGAATGGGAAATGAGATTGAACTCTTTCGGAGATCATCGCTTGTGTTACCAATTAAAGACATTTGTGGCCAAGTTTTGTGCTCTTATAAGGTTATTTTCGGAAATGCAGAGCTTTGTCCGACGATTCTTAGAGCTATTAGCCACAAAACAACTTAATTTAAACACGAATAAATATTCATAATGATTGGAGAACCTATTCGCCTAATACTATTCTCTCAAAGCGCTTGATAAAGTCCGCTTGAAAGGCAGCCAAAATATCTGCGATTTGGTTAAACATTTTCAACCTAATAGCCACATTCCACACCTACACCACACAGCCTACAACTTACAGTTCTAATATCGCTTAGTTTATCGCTCTAAAGTGCATATAAATATTAATTTTCCCACGTCACATCTATATCGATTCTAGACCACCAATTACGTGCCGTACGCCCCCACAGACACAGTCTCAAGAGAGCACGAGAGCTAATAAATTAAGTCAATCAACTACAGTAACGGGGCGACCCCTCCGCGCACCGCACACTCATCTCTTCTCGTATTTAAACCCACTTTGCCGTTGCAATTTGGCTATAAGCTGAATCAGCTTTTCGCTTCTTAGCGTTTCATTCATGAAAATTCACACTGAAACTGAATCTGAGGCTGAGGCTGCAGTTGGCACAAAAATGAGATGCCAAAAGTGGATCGACTGGGGTTCAGGGGCTTCCATGGCAGCTGTCTATCTTGGTGTCTTGTTGTTTTGTTGTCTTATTGTCTTGTTGTCTGGTTGTCTCGTGTCTTGTGCCTCGTGTGTGAGAAAGTGATGACAAGTGGATTAGATGTAATGGGAGTAGAGTATGACACTTGCAGCTGCTCAGGTGGAATATTCAATGTTCTATTGAGGGTGTAACACTTAGTCCTCTAAGAGGCAGCTAAGAAAGAAGACCCACAACACTCTGGGCAAGAAGCAGGCCACCGGGGAAGAAGGTCCCCCAACAAAAGTGGGCTTTGGCTTACATCAAAACATTTGTTGTTGTCGTTAGCTTCAATCCAATCCAACTTGCCCTCCCTCTCCCCCTTTCAGTTTTTGTTCCAGTTTTTCGGTAATTTCCGTTCGTCACAAAGGCTAACAATTTCATGGCACTGCAAGTGCATTTTCAACTTGAAATTTAAACTGAAAGCGAATGGAAATTGGAGTAGCAGTGGGTGTGGCTCTGCATGTGGGAGTGGATACACATGGCGCGTGTGTGTGTGTGTGTGTGTGTGTGTGTGGGCGGAAATGAGTCACTCTTCTGTGGTGTCTCGCGAGGGCACTATGTAATTAAAATTCATATTTTATGAGGCAAATCGAAATTGAAAATTCGATTTGGAACAGACAGACAGACGGAGCTTAGGGCACACCTGACTCTCCCTGACTAATTATGTACATGATTGATGCTTGCTATATTCCCCTTAAATTAGTTAGACTTTAAGTGGCATTTACCTTTGCTGCCTTTCAGAATGCTGCTCGGGTGTCCTGGCGGTCGTCCTATGGCTGGGCCACCGTTGATTCCATTATTGGTTATTCCATTGCCGGGCAGTCCGCCAATAAACTGATTGTGCACCGCCGACATTTGGCTGTTCAGCGAGGAGGTGCCACTCAGCGAAGCAACATCTTCGCGAGAGGCAGAGTTCGCAGCTGTAGCTGTGGCTGCCGCTGCCGCTGTTGCAGGGGAGGATTTCTTCACTGCTGGCGGTGGCGGTGGGGGCAGATGGTGGTGCTGGTGCTGGTGGTGGTGGTGGATGCCGGGTGGCGCCATTGCAGACTTATCCGCGCTGCCGTTACCAGCCACATCTGAGCCACTTGCCACAGCGGCCTCACAATTATCATCGGCGCTGTCACTGGTGCTGCAAGTGAATTTCTTGCCACTTCCGTTGGCCAGGCTAGAACTTAGATTCGAGTTTCCGTTAAATGCTGCAAAACTAGTTGAGACCGGAGCACCGGCACTGGCACTGCCACTGGCAGTAGTAGCAGCAGCAGCAGGATGTGGATGTGGATGTGAGTGCGAGTGTTGGTGGGAAACATTCAGAGGCGCCAACTGTTGCTGCTGCTGCTGTGGCTGCTGCTGTTGATAGAAGTGATTGGTAAAGTGCTGCTGCTGCTGTTGTTTCTGCTGCTGCTGCTGCTGATGCTGTTGTTGCTGTTGGAGCATTAGATAATCAGCGGCAGACGATGACGCTGCTGTTGTCTTGGCCATTGGTACGCCTCTGGCTGCCCCGCCCGCTCCACCTCCGGCTATCGTCGTTGTTGTGGCTGTTATTATTGGCATTTTAATCCACTCTGCTCTGCTCTGCTCTCCTCTGCTCTCCACACTCCTGTCCGTTGGGTTAAATCGTTTTTCTATAGTCTAAAGCCTAACCACAAACGATTTGCTTTGCCATTGCATTCGATCGCTGGATATTCAATACTCGTTCTCTGTTCTCTGTGTTGCGGGAATGTTTAGCTAAACTCTGAGCGCTTCTTGGGGCCTGCTTTGGGGCTTTAATTCATTTGTCATTGAGCATCCATTCTCAGGCATAACATCGCAATGGCAAGAAGCTGCAAAATGGAATAATTAAACGAGAAGTCATGAATTATCATCACGCAAAGTAATACAAAATACAAAATAACAAACAATTAACATGCATATAAACAATGGCAAAAAATTCTAAATGTGTGTGTCGCGGAAACAGACAACAAAACCCTCAAAGTTTATACTCTATCAGAAGATATTTGTATTCGTAGTTCAGGCAGGGCCTGGCACTGCAATCCGTCATCAAAATTCTGTCAAAAAGAAAGCGAAACTTCTATTCCAATAGTTCCATAGCTCGATCAATAAAAGTAGATTCTTATGCTTCTCTCTCTCTACTTTAAAACTCTTTGTGGCCGCTTCAAATGTAGCCCAAAATATAATCCATCCAGGCAGCCGTCAAATACTTTGAATATCTAACAGCCACTCCACTCCACCACTCCTTTCGCAAGACAAATCCAAAGCCTAAGCCATCCAGTTAGACGACAGCTTCAGCTCCCGGCTAGACACGATCTTTGTGGCGTACGGTGCCAGCTCCAAAAGTGGAGGCCATCGACGGTCCGTTCAGTCCCTGCTGCAGCATTGTTGACATTGTCAAAGAGTCAACTTCGGACTTTCCCATGGCAGAGATACGAGTACGAGTATATAATTATTTTCGCTGCACATTCCATGCCAAGCTTTTATTTTCTTATGATTTTCGCCAGTTAAAGCCGCTGAAATAGTTTAAATAGTTTTTTATCCAGCCTTGAGGAGAGTGCGTCACATCATGAAAGTGTTTTTGTTTTTGTTTTTTTTTTATGACATTTGTCTGGTTAAGCTGCGCCACGCAGTTAATTTTTTATCTGCTCAAAGACTTTCTTTCATTAAATGTTGGCAGTGGGTATCATGAGTTTGCCTGCCATAGGAACAAACTGTGGCAGTGGTTTCTGGACTCTTGCCTTCTCATAAATATTTATATGGAACGTAGGGAAAACGTTGACTCACGGACACGACAGAATTATGAAAAGTGAATAAGAGAGCGGAGCCAGAAAACAAGAAAATTAACTGTGCGAAAAAAGGGGCATCAAGCACGACAGCAACATTCGGTTCCTCTCAAGCGAAAAATGTACTCCAATGAGAAAATACGTTCATATAATACGAGAAGCAGCCGCAGCCGCAGCAACAGCAACAGCAGCAGCAGCAGTGGAAGAACCTAGGCTTGGCCTGGCCTGCCTCTTCAGAGGGAACTCTGCGGGTAGTAGCACCGACATCGACATTCACCAACAAAGAATGCCATCAACAACAACAGGCGGGGAGAAACGAGTTTTTCAGAGCATGCTGCCACCAGATCGCGGCAAATGCCGCAAACGAAAACCGAAAGGTAACCCCCAAACAACCACAGGCAAGAACTCTCTTGGGCTGGTGCTGGTGCTGGCGCTGTGTACTGGGTACGGTGCTGGTGATGGTGGTGGTTCGGGCAACCAACTGCACTTGCCACTTGCCACACGGGGCACGTAGGCGCTGCGCAACGGCGACCTGAGGTTCAAGCCTTGGTGGACCGACCGATCGGCCACCTGTCGTCGTCTGGCGGTTGGCGAAAATTTCACGTAGCATTAGAGAAAACCTCGCCGCAGGCCCCAGGCCACTTTCGACTGCAATCAGGCGGCGCACGACCAGACCAGTTGCAGTTAACAAGGCAGCAGAGTGGGAGCAGGGGCGGGGCGGGGACAGCCGCAAAGATGGAAAACCAAAAAAAAAAAACAAAAGCCATCATTTCACTTCATGGGTGAAATTCATCATCAGCGTTTATAGCCCGTCCGTCTGTGAGGCGGCCAAAAAAAAAGCACTATATGGCACGTTTAAAAGCCGAAGCAGAGGGCGAAACAAGCCATTTAATTTTATATGTGGAAGATCGAGATTATGGAAAGCAGACTGCCGCAAAATGGAAGTAGTATCTGCACACAACACAACACAGCACCTAATTGCCATCGATCATCGATGAACATACATTAATTACAAATAAATAAACTTTCTGCAGGGCAATGAATGGTCACTGCCATGGGCAGAAATGGGAAAATTGTCAACGCAAGATAAACAATTTTGAGGCCCGAACAAATTAACTTTCAAAATTCGCACCTTTTTGTTGCTGTTGTTGTTTCAGGTTTGTTTAGAGATCGAGGCGATCAGATCAGCGGTATTGGGAGCCGATTGGCACGAACACTTTCCATTTTATTTTGATTTTTTATTTCGGTTTGATGAAAACCGCAAACGCGTTTTCCAAATAGCGCAAACACACGCGCGCGAAAAAACACACACACACACAGACACAAAGGCAGATACAAATGCAGATGCCGGAGCGGTCCCACTTGTTAACTGTGATAATATGGCCAAGTTTGAACTTGTTGTTGGTAGCGCTGCGGCGTACCTCTTGAAAACACGTTGAGACCTGCGAGACGCTCGTGGTCGGTCTGACAAAAACGGGTTGCCCAGCGATCACTCCAAGTGTTTAATGGCTCTTATGATTATTTCCATTAAAATTGCATTAAAGTGCAATTTGATTTTCCCGCTTGATTTAAAAACGCACAGGGACACGATATTCTGATATATCAAAATATATATATTTTTTGACAACAATTTGAAGGTGATATTTTTGTGGGCTATATCAACGGACTTTTCTGAATTAAGAAGAAAATTCGACACTAGTTTGTCGTCACGACACGTTCATTCATGTTGACGAGTGGGGTTCTTGTGGTGCGGCAAGGCCGTTTTTCAAATACGCCCGCCTTCAAATGTTGCTAGGGGCCTAAAAATGTTGTTCGGCAACAGGCGTGTGTTGCTGAGAAAAAAGGGGTATGCGCAACAAGCAAAACGGACCAAAAAATGCAACGGATGCAAGCCAATATCCACCGCAATTCATATCATACCATGAAATGCTTATATTGAGACTCATTTTTGAGTGTCAAGTGTGAGCGAGAGGACATCTAGAGATGACCGATAATAGTACAAACCTGTTGCTCGCAGAACACACACAACACCACACACACACACACACTTGAAGGTATGCACACCGACAAACAAAACAAATGCACTGTACTGGGAATTAACTTTGAATACTAATTTACACACCATTAAGTCACAAAGTTGGTTGCACTCATTCAACTGATCATTTTAATTGATGAAAATGCACTATAAATGAATATAAATAAATCATAAGACAACCGAACAGAACAGCAACAAAACAGAAAACAAAACAACGCGACCCGACCAGTGTAATATTACTCAAAACCGGATTTATCGATATACAATCAGACCCTTAGAAATATACCGAAATATACCGTCTCATTTTCAAAATGTACCGTAAATATACCGAGGAAAATCATATTCATCAATTTTGATATTCGATTTAATATAACTAGCTAGTTAGGACTTTAACAACTGAAAATATCATTTTAGATGATAGATGAATCAATTTTCTACAATCTGGCTTATTTTAAGGACTCCCATTTATTGGATAACTTATAAAATAAGTTTTAAGCAAGAAGGTCAGCAAAAATGTCCCTTTTTTTAAATATCAACGACTTATTTTTAGAGTATGGCACGTTGTCTACCCAATTTCCTTTCAAAAGAGTTAAATTTATATTTTTTAAGCTGCTTTGATACCTCAGTAACAAAGAATTTACTCGTATTGACATGTTTTTGACTTAGACTAGATTCCTCTATATATCTCGATCCCGTTGTGGATCTGCATGAATACCATAAACTGTAAAACGAAATGGGATGAATTTAAAATTTAGTGAAAATTTTCGCAAAGATATGAATTATGAGTGGATACTCATAATAAACAGCTCATAGAATCTATCATTACGTGGGTGGCAAACATGTCATCATATCCCCGTTTTGTTTCTTCCTTAAGGATGGAAGCTTCCTTCAAGTAAACTTTTATACGCTGGGAAATATGAGGTAGGGGCAACAGGAAAAGCGGTCCAAGAAAACGTACCGCATAAAAGGACAATTTCACCCATTGAAAAAGATCTTGTTGGAGTGCCAATCATAAAACATAAATAAATAAAAGCTAAAAACATAACATCACCGTATGACCGTATAATCATCTGCTAAAACCCACCACATACATAACTCACCATGATGGATTTGATTTCAAATTTTAACCAATGAAATTCGGGGACCTACCGCGATTTTAGGCTTCAACCATTAAAAAATTTCCAAATAAACCTTTAAGGTATTCAAGGTATTTATTTATTTAATTTATGTATTTTGCATATGGGGCACGTATCAGTTGGCGGGAATATTTGAATTTGAAACCCGAAACGCCAAATCGATGTTACTTTATTGAAAAAATGTATGCTCTAGCATAACAACAGTACAAAACACAAAAAAATTAGTAAAATAAATTCAAAGTGTATTAAAAAATTAATAAAATTCAAAGTGCATACAAAATTTAAGTGAGAAAATAAAATATATTAAAACTTACCTTCACCATGGAAATTGGCGGTAAGTAATAACGGATGATTCTCCCACTCAATTTAATTCACCTACCCAAAAACAACAGTGGCCTTGAACAACGAACTAGAAGTTCGGATCTCGGAGGCCTTTTGCGTGTTTGATACTCATGGCGATAAATACATGGACACTCGCAATGTGGGAAATGTTCTCAGATTCTTAGGCTGTGTGCCGACCGAAAAAGAAGTCAACGACGTCATGGCAGCCACCGAGTCCATAGATTACCCGGGGGAAACACAGCTACCAAAGTTTATGGCCCATGTCTCCCAGCTGCTTATGGATGAACAGTGAGAATACTTCGAGGACAATCATAATATTTGGCTGCTAATCATTTTTCTGTCCACCAACAGAATGCAACCAGCGTCGACAGAAAAGCTGTATGAAGCATTTCAGGTGCTCGATCCAGAAAACCATAAATATCTTACCAAAGAGTATTTCGGAAAGTTAATGCTGGAGGACGGAGAACCCTTCACTGAAGAGGAGCTGGAGGCCATGTGGCCGGTGGCCATTGATCCGATCACTGGAAACATTCCCTACACGTTCTATATTAACCAACTGAAGGTATCTATAAGGTGCTGATAATTATTAGATTGGCTTCTAAGTTTTCTTTTTTTTTTTAATAACAGCACAAGGGCACAATTTATGAGGTGGCTGCAGCAGTGAAGGAGGAGATTGTTCAGGCCGAACAGGGGCGCAAGAAGTAAGGAAGAAAAAAAAACAGTGTTTTTGGCCAGGATAATTATGTTTAAATAAAAATTACCGGACTTATTCAGCTTGGTTTGAATTGTGCGCAAACTTCTAAAAAACTATTGCTACGTGGGCAGCACTTTATTTTATAAACATTCCAGTAAAAATAATTCTTTAAAATTAGCCAATCTGGTAGAATATTTATTTATTTTTGGGTAACTAGTAACATTAAAGCGAATATCAAAATGGCGAATGGGACAGAGAACGATTAACCCATTGTCGACCAGTGGGTTTTTAAATACAAACAATAAAATTATGAAACTTGAAGAATTGTAACGCAGTTCAGGTGAAAAATATCGTGGTCATTTCTTTATTAAGTAAACAGAAAGGATGGATGAAAAAGCAGGCTTTAAAAATATTATTTTTCGCGGTTGATGTCAACTTGTTCACCTGTTTAAATAGAGGGGGTCTGAAGGGTTAATTTCGTTCACTCATCAATAAACTCCGTTATCGATAACTAAAAAACCAACCAAAAACAGCCACGTCAGCTTTTCCACCCAACCACTCGAAAACGAACACGCCATCATACAGAGTCCAGAATTACAAGGTGAATGAAAAAGTTGCATGAGATTGAAACCGAAAAGCCTGGAGCAGAGGCAATGAAGAAGTTGAAATCGGCAAGGCTGAGAAGCGCGGTCACGGCAAATGAGACGATCTAAGCAAAACAAAAATCAGATAAAATTCGGTGCCCGAGCACAACACACGGAAACCATGCAAATTTGATTTCGGCAACACTTTCTTAAAGGTTGCGCACTCCAAACAACAGTTTATTATTTTATCTGAGTAACATTAAAATATGGCACCGACCGCTAATGCCTACTTGATAACCGTGGACTCGGGCGTGGCCATATCAACGAATACCTTGCCCAAGCTGCGACCCGCACCTCTGACAGCGGCGCTGCTCAAGGGGGCGGCCTCGCCTGCACGCTCGAGCTCGGGATACGCCTCGTCCTCCTACGATAACATGGAGGAGGAAGAGTCTCTGGTGGCTACGCCGCCCAAGGCCAAGAAGCGTCGCCTGGATCACCTCAGTTGGGAGGAAAAAGTACAGAGAAAGTAAGTGGTAGAAATCGATGGATGGCGGTGAAAATCAATACTAAGGCTCATTGCTCTCATTTAACAGGAAGCTAAAGAATCGCGTTGCAGCCCAGACATCACGGGACCGAAAGAAGGCTCGTATGGAGGAAATGGAATACGAGATCAAAGAGCTAACTGACAAAACGGAATTACTGCAAAACAAATGCGAAAGTCTACAGTCCATCAATGAGTCGTTGCTGGTCAAAAACCAGAAGCTGGACACAGAAGTAGAACTATTGCGTCAGGAACTCGAAGAGATCAAACAACAACAGAAGCAGCAGCAGCACGCCAAAAACATCACCTGCAACAGCTCCAATGCCAACATAGGCGCTGAGGGCTGTGCGTCCACAATCCTTGGATCCGCAGCATCCAATGCTGACCCTCTGCAGCAGGGTACACACACAGTGGACACACAGTCGTCAGCGCGTCTGTTGACGGAACAGCTGAAAAGCAGCAAGACCATGGCCTCGCTCTGGAAGGTTGTGGCTCTCTGCCTACTCTACAAGACATGCTGCTCGTCGACGATGAAGAGTTCGACGCGCGGCGACTTGAAGAGTTGGCCGAAAGTCTGCTCGCAGATATCACAGCAGACCTGGAAGCTGGCCCTGGAGCGTGCGGCCCAACTGCTGCCAAAGATTCAGGCGACCAAGAGCGACTGCTTGGATCAATGGTGGGGACCCCAACAGAGCGCCTGGAATCCGGCGGGCATAGAGCTGATGGCCTAGGCACTGAAGAACCCAAACACAGCCTGAATGTGCAGGTGTTGAAGATAAATGGAAACTCACAGCAAGCCACAACAGCGCCAACAACGACAAAGACGATAACGAAGACGACGACTACAACAACTAATTCAGCAGCAGCCACCGCACCAACACTTGTGCAGGCCACACCGGACACAGTTTATGGCACCTACGATGCCAAGACAAACTCGATAACCATCGTGATGGATGGAGATGCGGTTCCAGTCAATGAGGCCGTTGAGGAGATCTACTGCGATGGCGTCAGCGCTGGGGATGACACTACAGATGTAATTATGAAGTGTCCGCCACCAGCGGCGTCTCCATCGCAGGTCTATCTCAATGTCGTGAATGCCACCGACGACTCGGACGACGAGTGCGATTTCAATGGCATTGAATCGTTCCTCTGCCCGCGCATGAAGGCCATTTCCCCATTGGCCAAATCTCCCGCATTGTCTCTACACTCAGCCACCTCCGATCACGGCTACGAGTCCATACTGGGCTCTCCCACATCCACAATGCTTACTCTGCCCACAGACACGGAAGAGGACTTTCCCTGGCAGAGCAATTTCGATGAGCTGTTCCCCAGCCTGTTGTAAGCGCTCTCCCCAAACCGGGATTGGTAATCGTTTTTCAAATTGAAAAATCAGTTGGATCCACAAAGTTTCTCTCTATTCTATTGTTAAGTTTGGCCGGCCGCCCTATGATTTAAGTGTTTTAGCTGATAGGCTGTATAGCAGGAATTTCGTCATCGATGGCTTTATTTGTAAATGATATTTAACTGAAACTCGTAGGTAATCCGTAAGTTTCCATTTATGTTTAACACACACTCTAACCACACATAGGCTAATCTTTTTGTAATGTGCTCAAAAAAATATGCGAAAACATTCAAAAAAAAATTAAACAACTACAATATATTCAAAATATATACAAGACCACACAACACAAAATAATGATGGCCTGATTTATGTATAGAGCAAAACGGTAGGTTGTTGGATAACCGGCAGTCGCTCCACTATCTCATGACATGACTCTTGAACACGCCACATTTCCTGATAGTATATGGGGGTCTCAAAAACAATACAGTGAGTCACTCGATTCTTAGGTAAACATATATGTACATATATATGGCAATATAGTACCAGCCCTATTCTAACAACAACCAAAGAGGAACGAAGAGGATAAGCTTACTATAATGTCAGCTCAATGCAACCAGGTTAGATTTATTAATCGGAAAAAAATTAAAAATTCATTGCTGAGAGTCCTCCCTACCTATTAATATTAAGCAGAATATCAAATTCGAGGAATATGATTTCCGATCATGGACTGAGTATTTATTTTTGCACGAATATTATGAAACTTGAAACATTTTTTACGCATTTCAGGTGAAAGATATGGTGGTAAAAAGGGGAAGGAGGACTCAAGAGGAAGGATGGATCTACAAGAAAAATATAAAAACAGTAATATTTTCCGAGGCTTAATTTAAGGTCTTTCAATGTTTAAATATAGGGGGTTAAGTGGGCTAAGTCCATTTTTTTTCTTCGGTATATTTACAGTATATTTTGAAAGGGATAAGGTATATTTTAGTATATTTCAGAGGGTTCGACGGTCCAAAAGAAAACAAGCAAAAAAAAACAAAAAAACAACAAGCCAGAGGAATCTAAAATGACCGAACCAGCCAAGGAGGTACCAGATGAAGCCGCAGATTCGCCCGCACCAGGGCCCATAGCCCCGCAGTCGCTGGAAGCGACAGCCCCCATAGAAGCGCCAAACGAAGAGAAGCTAGACAAAACGCCCGCTGGCAAGGGGAATAAAAAGAATAAAAGCTCCAGGGCGGCGCAGTCTGACACAACGATGGACCCCGAGATAAAGAAGCTCACTCAGCGCCGCATTAATGTGGCTGGAGCCCCCAAAATGCCCTTAAATGGCTATGTGCGATTCATGAACGACAGACGAGAGGAACTGAGACGCGAGCAGCCACAGCGGACGGCCCTGGAGCACACTAAGATTATTGGTGAGGAATGGCACCTGCTACCGGAGGAGCGCAAGGTTCCGTACATGGAAGCAGCCGCCAAGGACAAGGCTTTGTAAGTGCCGAGCCTTTTATAGTGCAAGATGATTTTCTGATCGGGTTTGTTCCTTTTTTCTACAGATACCAAGAGCAGATGCACCTATTCTTCAAGGACCACCCTGAAATTGTGGCTAAAGAGTTAGCCAGGATGAAGAAAGCTACCAAAGGAGACAGTGCCTCAAAGGAGAAGACACCCAGAACTGCAGCCAATAACGATGTCAGCGTTGGCAAAGGAAAGAAACCGAAAGCAAAGGCCACAGCAAATAAGAGGCCAAGCGAGCACTCTCCCGACCCAGACGATGTCCCGCTATCCCAGGTTAAACGCACGCCGACTCCACCTCCACCAGCACCACCACCACCTCAACAAGCACCGGCGCCAGCACCAGTAACAACCAGCATTGTCGTCGCACCGCGTCCCATTCAGCCAGGCGAGATACCCATTTACACAAACGAATTCATCGAGCACAACCGCAGCACGGAGAACGAGCTGCGAACGTTGCGCAAGACGAAAACGGATCTGGAGCAGCAAAACGCGGTGCTGGAGCAGCACGTGGACAACACCAAGGCCGGCTATGCCAAGGTAATGGGCGAGGTGGCCGAACTGAAGGAGGAGAACGTGCGTCTGGAGGCGTACGTGAAGGGTCTGCGCCAGAAGCTGGTTGCAGCCCTCAGCGGTGTGCCCTTGCCTCCGGTGGAGCCGTCCGGTCCGAACGTTGGCAACATAGACAGGTACATGCATCACCTGGCCGGCCTCACTGGCCAACCGCACAATACTATGCTCCTCAAGGCTAGAGATGCTCTGCGCAAAGTTGACACTACCCCTCTGCTCAAGTCCTAGTATCCTTTCAGATGAAACGATTGTACAGTGCAGTATTTTATAATTTCCTTAGTCTTAGGATCCATCCACCACACCCCTACACAAGTGTACATGTGTGTTCTCATCGAATGTGTATCATGTTTAATAAGATGTATTTTGTATGTTTAATAAACCCGTGAAACAACTAGTCGTGTGGTTATTAGAGTCCGCTGCTCGGCTAGTTCTGGGATGTGTCCTCCATGCTATCTTCTTGGGAGAAGCTCTCGGTGCCGCGTGACGAGGTATTATGTGTGTAACGCCTGGAGTATCCCGACCCAGAATCGTTGTCCCCCAGTGACTTCCTGTTTTTGGTCGGCTTTCCGCAACGAAGCAAGACACGGCGCACCATGACGAACCCGGCAGCGAGCAGGGGAAGCAGCAAGTACGGCTTACAAATCAGACCCAACGTGAACAGACTGATCGACATCATCCAACTGAATAGGGTCTCTGTGGGACCAGCTCATACAGTAAACACCACATGACGTCTTTCCGTTTAATAAACTCACCTTCAACCTGCCAGATGGTGGCCACCGTAGTGTAGATTGCCGTGGAGATTGCCACCAGCAAGGCGTACATCTTGACTTTTATGTTTCACCTTTTTCGTATTTTAATGGAGAACTGAAATCTGTGGGCTAGGCAGTTTTCCACTGGCCTTTTTGGGAAGGTTTACTATGTTAAAAAAACTAAAAAAAATTAAGTAAACAAAAATCGAAAGTAATGTGTACTGGCTTCACGCAGCAAAAAAGGAAAGGGGTTGTTTCTTCTTTTATTATTGAACAAAATAGTCGTCTCGTCTCGTCTCGTTTCACTTCTTCGTTAATGAACTTAAGCGTTTTTCTTCTTAATGTTTGTTTCTTTTTTTCGATTTGTTTCTTAGGAACAGCAAAAAAAAGTTAAACAAAAATAAATTAGAGCTTATAAAGAAAATAGTTTTGTTTGATGGTTTTTGTTGTTTGTTGTTGGTGTGTGGGTTGGTAGGTGTTTCAAAATAAATTCTAAATTATAGCGTACATTTAAGGTTTTTATAACAAAAAATAATTTAATGAGATAATAAATCAAAGGCGCAGACTTCAAAAATATTCCATTGAGTCGTGTGGGGAGGATGGTCACGGTCCCCCCCTCATATCAAAGGCCATCACTTAGGTTCGTCCAACTCTCTCACAGCGTTTGGTAAAAAAAAGAAAATACATGGTTCAGAGGATCCATCCTCCGTTCATCAATTAAAAATACGAATCGCGATTTTCATTTGTTTGTTATTATTTTAGAAATTTGTGTGTTTCTTATGCTTCCTCTTAAATGTGATTTAAGTTTTGTAATCATTTTGTTAAAGTAATGTTTTTTACTTTCCGTGTTTCAAGTGGGAGGCAGATTCTCCCAAAGGTGTGTTGTGTGTGTGTTCGTGTGTTGAGTGGGTAGGATGCGGATGCGGATGAGGATATGGACGTGGGGTGGAGCAACTGGCTCAAAGCAGTGGCTTGACTAAAATACGATCAGTGGCTCTTCACAGTTCAAGGATAATTTCAATTGGAATGCCAATTTGAGTGTGTGGTAAAGGTTAGGAATCTGTTCGTTTTTATGTGGACCAATGTGGCGCGGCGATGTCTTCAGTGTTTTGGAAAGAAACTGCTTATTCTTCTTATTCTTATTACGGACATTCAAATATTTGCAGGCGAACTGCCTCGGTTCGGTTTTAGCCTTCGGTTGGGGTCGTGGCCAGGGATTTCTCTGCTTGTGTTCACTGGCCGAATTAATTGCTGCGATTGCAATTGCGGGTGTGGTTGTGGCTGCGGCTGCCTTCGGCGGATTCTTCCTCCCTCATGTAAAATATAATCTCAGAGTTGTCGTCTCAAATGTAGATGCGAGGACGATGACGACGACGACGACACCGTCAAGGGCTGCTGCTTCTGCTGGCGTCAGGCATCCGTGCCATTGGGGTTCATGCCCACAGGCGACACAACCATCATGTTGCCTGTCTTGGGCGTGTAAACGCTGGCATTGGGATCCAGTGTGGAGTTGCCGTTACCATTTGCGGCAGCTGCATTGGCAGCAGCCACCTGCAGAGCAGCAGCCACACTCACCGGCACCATTTGCTGCTGGTTGCAGGGAGGAACCCCCTGCTGTTGCTGTTGCTGCTGCAACTGCTGCTCATGCCTTTGCTGGAGGTGCTGTTGATGCTGCTGTTGCATCTGATTCCTTTGCTGCAGGTGCTGCTGATGTTGATTGTTTTGCTGCTGCTGCTGGTGTTGCTGTTGTTGTTGCTGTTGTTGCTGTTGCTGCTGCTGCTGCATCTGATTCCGTTGTTGAAGATGCTGCTGATGCTGTTGATATTCCTGCGCACCGCTCAGGCTGAGCATCGGCGATGACGGTCCGGGGCCCGACTGCAGTGGCGGCGTATCATTCATGCGCAGAATGCTGCTGCCCGGTCCGTGGGGGCCTGTGTTCATGCACATAGTGTCCGGCATCACGGCCAGAAGTTGGGCAATCTTGGCCTTCAGATCGATGACCTCATCCTCCTTGGAGCGACGATGGTCTGGTTGGAGCGAAAGCGTTGTTAGAACTCAAGTTTAAATCACTCCCACAACTTCAGTACTCACTGTCAGATATTTCAATCTGGCGCTTGGCTGCGCCCAGAGCCGAGAACAAGTCCAGCTTGACTCTCGTCTCTGCGGATAGATTCTTTTCCAGCGTAGAGTTCTTGTCCTGCATGGCAGCGAGGGCTTTCATGAGCATCTCGGCATCGGGCTGTGACGATTCGCGGTTGCGAACATTCACCTCCAGCATGCGATACTAAGAGACACAGACAAGAAGGGAGCACAAATTTCATTATTAAAAGAAGTTCTGACAAAGGGTGGAAGATATAGAAATACCACCTACCTCTTGCTCGTATTTGAGTCCATGCTCCACGGCCAGTTGCTTTGTCTCCTCCGTTTGCTTGAGGTCGAAGCGCAATCGCTTCAGCTCTTCATCCATTTGCTGGCGCCGCTGCTTGCACTGGGAGCTGCACTCGGGACGAGCTGCCTTATCCTCGGCTGCCTTGCGTGCCTTTTTCTCGTTAGCCAGCTGGGCATCCAGCGATTGCTTCTGCCGCCGCTCCTCGTTGAGACGCCGCTCCACGGTCTGCAGATTGAGAACGTCCGCATGCCGCACATTGTTCAGCTCCTGGACGCGCTTCTCGAGCTCCTCGCATTCCTTATGCTTGGCCTGCAGGCTGGACTTGCTTGTCAGATTGGTTTCCAGCTTCTGGCGAAGTTCGTTCTCGATTTGCTTCATGTGACTGATTTCGGCGCGATATTTCTTCACATCGGCCTCCAGCTTGAGGCATGTCTCGCATATTTTCGACACCACTTTGCTGGCAATGTGCGCAATGGCGTTGCTCGATGTGGAGCTGGCCGACGAGGAGACGGAGCTGGCATCGTTATTGTTGTTGTTGCTGGCCGAGTTCTCCTTGTCCTTCTCCTTTTGCTGCTGCTGCTGCTGCTGGTTGTGATTGTCCTTGGTCGCATTATCCTTCTTGCCGCGATTGCGACGACCTATAAAGTGGATTAGTGGGATTAGTTTGAGGACTTCGATTAGCCCATTGCCACACATCATACCCTTGGGCGCCTTTTCCACCTGCGGTGCTGGCTCCACGGTCGCCGCCTCCTCTGCCTCGGCGTGTAGAGCATTCCCATTGGGCACCACGTTGTTGGCCTTTTTGTCTGCGTATATACATAGAGAATCAGTTTGGGTTAACACACAGGCACCAACGCTCAGCAGTACTCACCGTGCTTGTCCTTTCCTCCCTGTGGCTGTTGTTGTTGATAGTTGGTGCTACTATCCCAGTCTGACTTCTCCTTATCCTTATCCTTATCCTTACTATTATTACTTGATGGGGCTGTTGCTGAGGCAGCTGCTGCTCCTGCTCCCGCTCCTCCTGCTGCTGCTGCTGCTGCTGCCGCTCCTGTTGCTGCACTGCTGCCATCGACCTGGTGATAATTATTGCTGCTGTTGCTGCTATTTTTACCACCATGTCGCTGCTGCGGGCCATTGTTGTGCTCATTATCACCAGCGTCTCCCTTATTCCGATGCTTATCCTTGTCCGTGCTGCGTCGATTGTTCCTTGAACCACCGCCGCCTCCCCCAGCGTGACCATTGGAGGTTGCTGCAAGTGTATTTTTAGAAATGTTAGTATGTATACATTTATTAAGCTTGATATCAAACATAATTGTGTTTTATTGATTTTTATGGGAAGGGCAAACTTGAGTTGAGTTTGGGGGGCTTGAATGAGTTTAGTGAAGTGGAATAATTAGCCTCTTTACGCACTGTTCCCTCCCAATGGAGTACTTTCGGTTAGGTAGGGAAGGAAGATATGAAGAATGATATAATGATATGAAGATTTCGATTTGCCGACTGGTTGCTGTGGGTTAGTGGACACATAGTGGGTGAGTTCAGGCCTCAATTGGTTACGTTACACTCTCTTGATGAATTCGTAAGTACATGCGCATACACAAACAGAAAACGGAAATATTACTAGTATTGGTATTGGTACTGTTACTGGTACATCGATTAATGGGTGTTTCGTTTATTGTCGCCGTAGTGAGGAGGGACGGCAGAAAGCAGCGTAAAGTATTATTACCACCACAACAACCATCGGCATCAGTGGAAGCAGAGGAGCTAGTAGAAGAAGTACAAGTAGAAGATGGGGATGCTGCTGCTGCTGCTGCATCTCCCGATTCTTGATGCTGTTCTGTCACCGCCAAGCTTGCTGTGGTTGCAGCCGAGATGTAGCTGTATGAAACAGGAGTGGTAGAAGTGGTTGCTGCACCTGTGGTTGTTGCCGTCGCCGATTGCTTTCCCCCTGTCGACGAGGAGGCGGAGGATGAGGCTGTGGATGACGCCGCCGTGGATGACCCTGCCCCTGCAGCGGCTGACGATGGCGACGACGCCGTTGTGCTATTGTTGTTGTCATTCGTGCTGGTATCCTTGCTGCTGCTGCCGTTGTTATTATTGTTATTGTGATGGTGATGATTATGGTGATTGCTATTGCTTGAACTGCTGCTGGCGCCGGCGCCGCCGCTGTGATGATGCTCATGATGGTTTTGTGCTTGCGTTGCAGATGCCAAAATGCCATTGGGATGCCCCGCGGCCGATGCGGCTGCAGCGGCGGCGAGTGCCGCCGTTGTGACCGACCCATTGGCGACCACAATTGTGCTCGAAGATGCCGTGGCTCCAGACGCAGCCGCCGCCTCATCGGTGGCCTCCTCGGCAGGCAGAGCCTGCTGCAGGAGCTGCATGTAGAACTCGTTCTCCTTGGCCACCTCGCGCTGCTTGCGCTGACGCATGCGGTAGCCCACGTAGCTTTTGAAGCCGAATCCAAGCGTGACAACCGGATAGCCAATGCTGCAAGAGTTACAGATATGAAAACAAAGGAGATATAATGGCATCCACCATCGAATCTTACCAATGCGCCGCGAACGGCCTGCAGAGATCCAAGTGCGGCATGTGGCGACTGTCTTTCCATCGAATGCCCACCTCGAGGTAGACAAACAACATCCAGAGTATGATGGTCGGCAAACAGATACCCTTATCTGCAAGAAACGAGTAAATATATAGCTGCCTGTCCCCTACACCATAGATGCGGGATGACGCACCTGTATGCCAGACGTACTGCACCCAGACGTATGTGCTGGC